CATGTTCCGACGACGATGAAAGAGGTTAGTCTATGCATACGAAATAATAATTTTTACATATTTGCCGATGTAGATTTGTAGAATCAAGAGTTATACGAATCTAACACGGAGAAAAAAACTTCGTGCGTGGGACTCGAAGTTGAGGTCATATGGATCTCTGAAGTTTTCGGATCACGTATCTAAAAACTTGAGGTCCAGCTGCCGAAGTTCGGGTCAGACATCTGAAGTACTTCGATACATACAGAAGGGTTCGGGTCACACATCTGAAGTCCTCCGGTACATACCGAAGTGCTTTGATGTCTGACCCGAACTTCGGCGGCTCGACCTCAAGTTTTCGGATGCGTGATCAGAAAACTTCAGAGATCCATATGACCTTGACTTCGGGTCCCATGCACGAAGTTTTTTTCTCTGTGAAGGACAGAATGCTTCTTAACTTTGCCTACATCCTACTCATTTGTCCTATATCGCAGACAAACAAAAAGTTCAATCAAATGAACTACCGTTCCTCCGGGGAGTCCGGTTTGACGAACACGTAAAATGGGTCGAATGAACTTGTGTTCCTTATTCCATAGCGATCATACTATTAGCGTTGTCAAACTGAAAGTTTCGTATGACGGAAGTCCGGTTTGACACACAGAATAGGTGGATCAAAAAAAAATTTTAGCTCTCAAATTTTAACTTATTTTCTTTCTTTCTTACATGTATGATTCTTTATTCCACTTTTTGGTAAGGCTAGGCCAACCAAGATATCTTCGTCATAGACCAGCACTACAACCTTTACACAGCACTTTGTACTTACTGTGCTTATTTTCAACCCACAGTTTGCTTCGTATGTCGCGAACGGGAGAAAAACACCGAATTGGAGACATGCGGTCACGAAGTATGTTTGACATGTGCCAGAAGGATGAAAGCAATATCAATGCTCCACATGGAGATTTTCAAATGCCCGATCTGCCGCTGCAAAGTGACAGGCTGGCATCAGAACGTCAAAAACAAAAAATCGTTATTGAAAGTTGCTCTACGATGGCTTAAAAGATTTAAACGTCGACAGCTTGGTGCAGGAAAAGCGACATCAGAGGGAAAGAACCCTAATTCTGACGGAACAAACCATACTGGCGCGCTCGCGTAGACAAAACAAAACGGCTTCGCAACAATTTAAGCTAATTGTGATCGGAAGTGTCAATATAATGTGCAAATAGAAAGGAACAAATGAAATGACCTCGTTGAACAAATAGGAATCAAGCCACATCAGCTATGGCCAAATTCAATTGGGAAATCTAATTTTTTACATGAAAACGGTTGTGCGGATTTTTGGGCAAATTCCAGTGAATTTTCTCCGTAGTGCGATGCAAGTTCCTCAACATTTTCAAAGGAATCTGCACACATGTTCTCTCGTAAAATTAAATTGCCCGGTTAAATTTGCCGGTAGCTGAAAAGTCAGGTTCCTTTCTTTTGAACACGATCCAAATAAATCAAAATGATGAGGAAAGAGGGGTATCGATAAGGGTCAATTTTGGGCCCACCTCATCTGAATTTCCTCAACTCAACGGTATTTTGCTCATTAAATGTGAATATTTCACGGAATGCATCATAATAAGGCTATTTCCGGTCTCTTCTCGGGTTTAATATTGACCTGAATGACGGTCTCAAGGCTGACTTTAGCGAAAAATGTAAATTTTTTGGCATTCGATCATCAATTTGTATATTTCGCTAAATTCAGACCCATGTTCAGGCCAATATTAAACCTAAGAAGAGACGGGAAATGACTGAACTAGACCTTCAATGAACAAATGATCGTAGAGTATGAATCGGCTCAGAAGGGCCCAAAAACGGCTCTTGTCGATACCTCTCCTTTTAAAAAAAATGTGACATATTGATCTAATTCTTGTGCAATTTTTTTTTGACATTTGATTGAAGGATTTGAAATCAATTAAAATGCATAGAAAGATTAATGAAGAATGAGCTCGTTGTTTCAACAGCTCATATATTAACCTTAAGAGGATACATGTAGATTTCCCTTAATACAAAAGTCCAATGTACTTTAAGGAAACTTTAAGATTATTAAAAAAAAAAGAAGAAATTGACATTGGCCAGGAAGACGGACTAACAATAAGTGAGGAGGTTAATTTTACGTAAGTGAAGGATCGAATACAACCTTTCAGTTATAAAGCTTTAAGCGTGGCCAGGATCTAATACGTTGAAAATGATGCAACGACTGGCCTTTGAATCTTGAATACTTCCAATTTGGTAACCTACTTGGAAAACCAAAATTCAATTTTTGCGTGCTGGTTATAGCGTGATGTGTTCGCGAACGGCTCGTGATGGAGCTGTAATTATTCAGAAATAATAAACCTTTTTGCGAGTGAGTTCGCAAACAAATGTTATTCATTGTAATAGCATTATGAGCCCCATCGCTGAGCAATTACCAATAGTTGACACATTTTGGCTAATTAGTTTTTTTTTTTTTTTTTTTTTATTGCCATTCCATTGATTTCAATTCATCAAAGTCAGCACACCTCATTGTCAAGCAGACATGATTGGCATCACTCCTACTGATGACTTTTTTTTAAAAATCAATTTGAGCGTTCACCACGTTAGAAGTGTACGCTCTTTCCCGACGTGTTCCATCGGCCGTTTGAATGTTATACCATTGGTAAGGCCCACGCTGCCCCATGGGTATCGTCGCCATTTTTTGCGGCGGGAAGCAATACCTATTTTCTCAATGTTTTTTAGTTGCCATTACCACCTTTTTTCTCCTATCTTGTCAACTTTATGTAATCCTGGTAGGCTTGTCTTTGATAAATTTTTATTCTTACGTCTTGAAACTCAGCAAAGTACGTATTATTTCATTGCTGCTTCGAAGTTCCTTCAAATACATGCCGTCGTTTTGCTAAAAAAATCTTTGGGTACAAAGTACCCATTCACTATATAACATGACCCATATACATTACTCCATGATAGAATGTCGGCTGATGTTAATCGCCCGCATCGTGGGACAAATCGTCGCCCCTCTGACGTAAGGGCGTATCTCAATTTCAACGTGAGCCCTGTTCTTCATATAACCCCATGCTTTTCAGGGCTCACGTGAAAATTGAGATACGCCCTTACGTCAGAGGAGCGACGAAATGGCCGAGGGGTTACGTCGCTCGACTCTAGAGCGAACGATCGTCAAGTATGTTCGAATCCCGCCAGGGGAAGATATATTTTATGACTATATTTTTATGTTATGTCATCATGAATAAATTAATTGAAAATAATAAGTGCTGCATAAAAAATGTGTGAACATTTTCTTATTTGAGTTAGTTAAGGTGCCATCTCTTCGTTAAGGATAACTACCGATTTCAAAACAGCCGCATTAAATGATTTGATTCCAGACGATAGCCTGTTAAATGCGATTCGATGATACTAAATATTCTCTTACGATATTTTTTTTAAAAAAAGTGTTATCCCTGCAAATAAAATTGGTGAAAACATAACAAAATGATGTTGGTTAATTTCTTTGTTATGAATTTTAAATAAAAATCGAGCTTTTAAAACGCCGCTAAAGAAGTAACTGGTTTGAAGTTTCGCCGTCACATTATCTGCCCACGGGCAGATAATACCTATGTGCACATAGGTACAATACGATTAAGCCGAAAAAGAATGAGTAGACTTTTAAAGATAGCAATTATTTAAAAAAATTATTTTTTGACTCTGATTTTAATTTTTGGTATTTCTTGGCTTTGTCTCCCCGTGTAATGGTGTAGACCCAGCCCCATTTCTCCACCTTGTTTAGAGATAGATATACCTACTCAACTGGAGGTTCGCTTTCAATCGCGCATTTAAGCAACACACATTTCAGGGACTATGCAATTATCTTGTCGAATAATACACATTTATCTTGACACATTTAAATTGATTAATGTATCGATCTGTAAGAACATAAACTCTAGTACGCTGTACTTTGGGTAAGCGTTCGTCCGTTCGTTTTATTTGATTCGTGGAAAACGTATTTGGGAACTATACCATCGTGCAGCTTTCGAATAAAGAGACTAACTTTTAACAAGGCAATGGAATGTAGAATAACTGCTCCTCGCCGATCAATAAAAAGGTTCATATTCACCACACCGGTAGAATGATTATATTGAAATTAATCATTGCATTAACAGTACTTGCAACAATTGGATTTTGTAATTTTTGTGAAGTGATTATACAAAGATAAAAAAAATAATAACATTCACGACTTGGTTTAGTGAACGCTCCTCCAACGTCTAAACGTTGGAACCGGCTGCTTGTTTTACTTACGGTATTTACTGTCGCAAGTACCAACCGAGAATCTACTTTTATTTATGTAAGTCACATTGAGTCTTGTTATAGACATTTCATCGGCCGAGAGACAACATCCCTCTCGCGCCGTTAGAGACTAGCGGGCTGATTATTGGAATTGATATCGATAATATAAATTTAGTGAATTTCTCAATAAATAGTTCATAAAAGTAATATTGATAACATAAATTTAGAAAATTTCTCAATGAACAGTTCATAAAAAGAGAGCGTTTACGTTCTTCTCCGATGATAAATGAATTAGTGAGTTCGAAAACACACCAACTCGGGAAAAAAAAATTGTTCAGGAAACACCTAAAACAGCGCAGCGGGCGAAGAAGATAGTTTAAGAAAAACATTTTTCGTGCCAAAGGACAAGTACTTGGAGACTTTGTAAAGCACCAAGTTGAAATCGATACACCATGTTTGATAACAGAGAATTAAGCGTTTAAAAATTCCCGAGTTGGTGTGTTTTCGTTCTCACCGACTTTCAGATACTGATTTTTCATAGTCTGCCTTGAAAAATTTATATTTTTTGACCTGAATAATGCTTGAATATTTATATAACTTGTTGGTACAAGGTATACTGAACCGAAAAAAATGAACCGGAAAATCGGATGGTTACACGTTTCCCTTGAAATGGCCAAAAATTGGTATTTCCAATGAAATACTTCGATTCTTCCCTTTTCCTGCCGCTGTTTCGAGCACTTCCGATTGCAATTTCGAAATTTCCTTGTGCGTGCAGATGCCTCCATCCATAGGTGTTACTGAACCGCAAAAAAGTGAAAATCGAAAAAAAACCCGAGTTGGTGTTTTCGAACTCACTGATTCAAATACCATGCACAGTTATGCAGCAGTACCCAATGGTGTTTTCTACGTTTTGAGCTCCAATGATGCTGACAGCTGACTAGGACAGTACTCATAATGAGAGCACGATTTTCCGCATTGAAGTGGCGGTACAAAAATCTTATAAAAACAGCACGTACAACATTTTTCGATTCGTCCGCGGCTGACATTAGCGTGCAAGGCGCCATCCCCAGTGTTCAGTGCAGGACGTGTCGCCGATAGTGTAAAATTCGCTATTTTTAATCAAAAGTAGCTACATCCATTTACTCTCTAGCCCCATAACTTTAAGCTAGATCCATTTACTCTCAGTCCAAAAAATGGTCACACGGACCTATCTGCTGGGAGTATTTCTTATGTGTGTTGGTTAAAACGTTCTTTCGGTTGTGAAAATGCGGTTCTGGACTCTGTGTTGCTCGCTTGTCTTCTTCGTTGCTTGCGTTCAGGTGAGCCTTTGATTTTAATATTTTCCATCAGAGCAGAGTAAATATTTCAATGGTGAGACACTTTAATAACGCCTTTGCAAGGCACTTGGGATTAATAATTTGCTCATGAGTGATTCCATAATAAAGGTTTGGTCGCGTTGGTCAAGAATATTGACAAAGGAGCAATTAATCGGATGGGATGGTGTCCGTGAATTTTTCCATGCAAAAATAAACATGCGTGATTTTTAAACTTAAGAGACTTCTTTAAAACACGAATTTTTGGTCACCTATGACACCGAATTAATTGTATTTCTAACGCAATGTTCCATATGCGTAGTTGAATGATTCATAGATCCTAGGACAGGTTCATGACAGGCTCTTAGAAGGAGATTTTAAAACTCTTAAAAAGGAGGTATAATGGACCACTGGACAAGGCATGCGTTTAACCAGAATTTCAAGTTGAACACGATTCTTGCATATAAAATTACTGAAATAAACTCTTAACCAGTATATTAACGTTTTTATTTTACACAAACTGATTGCGGTGGGCTTGCGGGTCGTAAGAAAGTATTGGAGTTTTTTAGCCAACGTGCGTTAAAATATGAGCTTTTTCCTTCTATAAAGAGATGTTCTGCTTTATGCTGAATTTTTAACACACGTTTGCTAAAAAACTTTAATACTGTTTTTATTTTACATTCGTTACGGGAAATTTGAATTGCTCGGTCACGAGAAACACAATACTCTACGTGAGTAAAATCGCGCCTCACAACGGTTTTAGTATGGCTTCTCAATTGAGCATTGTTCCTTCCTCACCTTTCATTGATCTAAGTGCGTAAACAATGTGCTATAGCTGAGCCAAAGCGTCGAAATCGAGGTAGCCAAAGCGTCGAAATCGAGGTTGCCAAATTTCCGGATCGATGAGACTGCCACGGTAACGTTTATAGTGTGCGATTTGAATCGCGTGGACCATTGCGTTTTCAGGAACGAGAGATTTAGATTCACTCGTCAAGAAACATTAAATATCTTGTTTAGAAGTTGATTCCAGTGATTATCGTTGCGTGACTCGTATTTTACGTGAGATTTCGGTTAGGTAACATCTATCAGAATGCTTAACTTTGTGCCTTGTGTAATAGTTCATTGAAGCGAGTCAAGGATCTATCGTAATTCTAAACGACTTTCAGCATTAAAAAAAAAAAAAAAAAAAAAAAAAAAAAAAAAAAAAATAAATAAATAAAAAAAATAAAAAAAAATTGTTAGTTTTTTCAAGTAATGTACGGCAAAACTTTTACAGATCTTAAAACATGTCATACACAGAAAAAATGATGTTAGTGTCGACTATATCAATTACTAGGGGCCCGCTTTGCAAACCTTGGTGACTTAATGTAAATAGAGCAGGATCAATCTCCCTCTGGCTGGGAGCAATTCAACCAATAAGCATTGAGTATGAAAATCGGCACTTTATTTCAAACTTCCCGCGGAGACTGAAACGAAACGAATGGGTATAGAACGGAGAATTTCGTCGCCTTTGAATGATCTATAAGAAAGGAACTACCTTCGTTTCCCTTACTAATAGCTTATTACTGTCGTTTCCGTCTGTCCATTTCAAAATCGAGCTAGAAGGGATAACGTAGGAACAAACCAAAAAAGACACCGTAACTCATTTTCCTCATTATTCAGCTCGTACATTGGCGGATCCAGCAAATTGGCGACAATGTTGTTCTCCATTTAAACTTATAAAAATGTATCGATTCTTGGAGGGACCAGGCGCTCCAACAAGAATCTATATTTTAACATAGGCTTAAATGGAGGAAATCCGGTGTTGCCAAATTGCTGAACCCGCCTCTGGAGGCGTGAATAATCAATTCTCAAAACGTCATTTTATTGAGTGTGCAAAGAACAATTTACGGTACGTTCAATTTTAAAACATTTCAGATTCAAGAGACGAGTACACTTGACTTACAACGACTGAGATCGGCCGTCCGCGAACGATCTCAACCGATCGTGAACACCGCCGTTAACTTTTGGTACGTAATATTCTCCTAGCGTTCATTTTCAGAGTTTCAAAGACATAAAGCCCAAGAGTCATGCTGAGCTAGATGCAACCCATTAGCCGTGGGACCTTTTTGTTCGCGGAATGACTTGGTCAAGAAAAAATCGGACTCCACGGCGATGCGTCAAACTTTTGCGATGACGCAAGTTTTCACTTAGCCGGAGCAAAAAAGTATCAACGGCAGGTACCCAGGTAGTGAGTGCTGTCATCGCCCGGTCGTGGCAAAAAACCTACGCATCAATATTAAAGAAGAAAAGAGAGGAAAATAAAGCTTTTAGTCTGGAACACACTGATGAGTAACGAAAAAAAAAAAAAATATTTTTTAATATACCGAGATGGCTCAAGCCATCAGTATTTCAGCCATCTTCATTTAGTTCAGTTAAAACAAAGAATTGGAAACTTTTTTGTAAAAGCGCGAAATATTTTACAGTGTTATTTTGTTACATCATATTTGTTTTGATATACATTATATACAGACATTAGATTATTTTTTCCGTGGATACGAGAAAATTTAAAGACAAAAATATGCAAACGTATTGTTTCTGCTCCCGACAGAGCCTTGAATACGTCTGCCCGACCGAGAAAAGACGTTCTAAATGAGAATATCGAGTTCTATCGATGGCAAATGACGAAAATTGCTTATCGTCACTGCAGCGTACACAAATCTCCAGTCATGTACTTTTTTGAGGGAAACAAACTAGAAGATCTCCTTACTATTTTCTGCGATATTTTGGAGTGAAATAAGAATATTCACACATTTTTCTATTTATAAAAAACAAAAAACATTTGATTGATTCATAATCACTGAAATAAAACATGAGCGGAGACTTGCAAAGGCCCAAAAATGTACACTTTTCGACTTTATCCATCAATATTTAGGTTTGCAAATAGTAAAGAGTTTTGGAGAATTGTTGTTAATACACCCCGTTGATTCACGGAATTTGTCAATGTATTTTGAACCAGAGGATACAGAATTATTGTTACGAAGGAGCGGTAAAATATTGTATCCCCCCCCCCCCCCCAAGCCATTTTAATTCTCATTTCTCTGACGTCATCACGTATTGACGTTGAAACTGCAAAAATGCGAATCTTGAGCGAAGTCGTCTAAAATTTCTGATCATCTTGTACAGTTTTAGAATACTTTCAGGCGGAATTTCAAAATTATATTCAAGACAAAAACAAATTCTGCGAAATTTTGCTCAAAATCGCTAAAAACCCGTCGACTGAATAATGAAAACGCGATGAGAAAAGTCCAAAATCCCACTTTGAGATAGGTTGTTTTTCAACTAGGGTTTGATATGAACTTATGCGATTCAACTCTGTTTTAACGGCTGATGGCGCTGATTCCTGCACTATTTCACCACTCTTGTTGCTTTCGTTTTTGTAGACTTGAAGCTTCAACACCATGTAGCAATCCTGTAGCAATGCTTTTTATTTTTATTTATTGGTTTGCATCTTGTTGGTGTTTCTCATATTTTAGTTCCTACTTTCTTTGCACTGATTAAGGCCGTCAGCACGGCCAAAACGCGTGCTCTCTTATTTTTCACCATGTTAAGGCAAAAATTGTATAAACATAAACATCCTCTTGCACATGTTTTTTTATTAAAGCATGGTATGAGTTCGCATTTCATTGTGGTGAAAATCGGCTGATAGCTCAGTTTTTTATTTGATTTCATCATGAATAGCCGGAAACTGAATAATGTCGTTGTTTTTAACTTGACCATCAATATGTCCTAAACACGCTGCGTCTGAGACAGAAGATGGGGAGACGTTTTCATATGTATGGTTGAAAATTTAACAGGAATAGAGGATACAGACAAATTCAGCAGGGATACGCCGGATACTTTCCAAAATCGAGCAATTCCGGACCTGGTACGAGACAAGCTCGGCAGCTGGATGAACAAGCGACCTCAAGTCAGTTAATCTTGACCTTTGTCACCTAAAACTTTGTTCCACGATCAGAATGAATCGATCAAAACGGGACATCGGTAGGACTGTTCTGTCGTGCTAAGGAAGAACGCCGTATGAACATTCGAGAGTTGCCAAATTTCCTTTGATAAGACATGTATTTCTGACGACATTCATGCATATTTTCCTTGACATTTTCAGATATTTTAGATTAGATTGCGCGCAAAATTGTCTAAAAAATTTTGGATAAAAATATACACAATTTTTCTGATAAATTCGGTTTTTATCGAAGGAAACGTGGCAACATCTGAAGGCTCATACGGCGTTCTTCCTTAGCACAGCAGTGTCGTTCCTCGAAATTTAGAGTTGCCTCTTTTTTTCGATCAAGATCTCATCACCTTCCGACCGAAGTATCACAAGAGCCGTGCGACGCTTATACATTTCCCCCGCCATTGTATTTTTTTACAGCAAAATTGTTGGTTGGATCTGTTAAAAAATTCCACTGAATTTTATTGGCAGCGCGAAGGAAGTTCAGATAAATTTTCGGACAGTTTTTTGAAAAATTTCTCTGTAAAAAAATAGAAGACGGCGGAAATTTTTAAACGTCGCATGGCTCTTGTGATACTTTGGCCGGAAGGTGGCGATGTGTCGTCTTGTATTAAGTCTTCTGATACTTCATATCTTGATGAAAAAAAGGGATGCCTCCTTTTGATGAGCAATGCTCAGTCGCACTGCTCTCCCATTTTGTTCAACAAAAAAAAAAAACGAAATTATCAATTAAAGAAGAAGTTAAAAATTTTAAAACGACTGTTCTTTGCTCCAAGATAAAGCCAGCACAATTTTGAAGTCCGAAGTTACCATAATGTCCAAATCAACTGTAAATTTTCCCATGTCCACTCTTTACAATTGTGTAATTAGAAAATCATAACTCAAGTAATGACTCATCGATCGCAAGATTCCCTTTACCATCATTACACGAATTGTATGAATTAAATCACAACACTCCGTGATTTCTCATCAAAATTTCACTAGAAGAACGAATAGCACAAAGGGACGTCTGACAATCAACCCCTGATCAAAATATAAGTGTTTTATATTATCACTGCGGTTAAACGGCAAAAAAACAAAGGACGTCATCCGCATAATCGAATTTCCTTTTGATAATACGTTAACCACGGTGGTAATGCCACACGGGATTCCACGGTAGTAGAACCGCTGGATGGTTTTGATACTTGGACCGCATTTTGCAATTAGGAACTATACATTTCAGCCCGGTTTAAAAACAACGTATGTGCCATTAGTTTCCCTATGCTCATAAGTGTTTTTTCAGGTGAGCCAGAATTTATAGTTCCAAATTGCAAAATGCAGTCCACTTGTAATGATGAGCACGGTGATGTTACCGTGTCCACGGTAATATTACTGGGAGCACGATTAATAATGCAACTATGAGCATGGTTAATTGGGCTGCATTTTGCAATCTGGAACTATAGATTCCAGCTCTTCTGGACAAACACTTATGTGCATAGGGAAACTAATAGCACATACGTTGTTTTTAAACCAGGCTAGAATTTATAGTTCCAAATTGCAAAATGTAGTCCGTATAAAGATCACAAACATTTGGACCGAGTTTAACGGAGAGCACTTCCAGGACTTAATGTCCACCTACCTCTCGTCCATTAAATAAATGTCCACCGCTATTTATGTCCACTAAACGTTAAATCCAGTCTTTATTAATTCCACATGATTCAATGTCCAACCATGAATATGTCCAAAATTGTCCAAATTGTGGACATGTTATGTCCACATTTTTTTCTTCTCATTTAAATGACAGGAACCACCGCAAAAATAAATGCATACTACTACTACCTTCATTCTTAAAAACATTTCATTCATGAATCAAGTCATGAAAGAGAACAGACTCTAAGAGCAGATAAAAACGTATGTTCATGTGTACACTGTACGGATATGATAAGATGAAAACCAAAGCGGGAGCCTAGGAAACGCTCCAATGCCAAATTAAATATTTTTCAGTAACAGATGCTGTCAAAATTGAAAGTCCTCTTCGGCTAGTTATTTCGTGCGCCTTCAATCTTGTAGGATACTCTGCAACGCCTCTGACGCGAAATAGTTGCTTAAAGCGTTGCGGCGCGGCAGGCAACCAGCGTGACACGCGCATAGGCGCCTACAAACCTAACGGGATACTTCACGCGTTGCGCAATGCGTGAAGTATCCCGTTAGGTTTGTAGGCACCAGTGCGCGTTTTGCGCTGCTAACACGCCGCTCCACTCTGTGTTAGGCTCTAATATTTAAACTTGCGGAGTCAGCATTTTTCAACTCATGATTTTGAAATGTTCGCACTATCTGCATTGATTATTCCCCAACGATAGTAAGGGCTTTAGAACTGTGGACGTAAAAATTGTGGACGAAAAGTCTGCGGACGTAAAAAAAGTGGTCATAAAGTCCGTGTACCATTGGACTACATTTGCTTATGCTACTATGCTCACCACTAATCTTACTCAAGTCCACGATTCTACTACCGTGGAATCCCGTGTGACATTACTACCGTGGTAACCGTATACCCGTGTTTTTTTTTTTTTTTTTTTTTTTTTTTTTTTTTTTTTTTTTTTTTTTTTTTTTTTATTTTTCTGCTCTCTCCCCCATTCAGAAAGTCCCTATTCTGCCTACATGTAACCCATCGTCGTGGTTATTTCTAGATCTAATCCAAGGAGACGACCCAGCACCTGCGCAGAAAAGAGCATTACGATCTCCGACGAGTCGGCGAAGAGCCTCCCATGACAGGAGCAGACCTGAGCGATCTTCATCATCATCATCATCATCATCATTATCTTCGTCGTCATCGTCATCATCATCATCATCATCTCAACTTGAATCATTAGCATTACCAACACAAATTTTAAACTCGCGAGTGATGTTTGATCAGCCAGAGGACGGTGTGATGGTTACGACAGAAGTGAATCCGACGTTGAATTCTCATATCTTCCTCTTTGTCCCAGTCATGATTGCGTTGCAGTCCTCTGACGGTTACATGCCGTATCTAGTAAAGCGAGAAATCTTCCATCATCCAGTTACAGGTGAGCTGTAGTCATCGAAATATAAAAATAACAACCTAATGGACCAATAGACAAGGTAAGCATTCAGGCACTATGATACATTTTTTGTCTTCAAAATCTCACGTAGAACGCGATTGGATTTCGATGACAATTTCTGAAAATCAAGAAAAAAACGCTGCTATTTAACATTGGTGCGGTTACGAAGAATTTAAATTTCTCGCACACAAGAAAAGCAGAGTCTACTTGAATCATATTCCGCACCACAATGGTTATGACAGGATTCTCAATGATTTTCAGGAATTTTTTCGCACAAACTGTCTTTTTCGTGAAATGTCGATGAGAAAACTTATATCTTCGAGCTTAGATTCGTACCTTGTCTGTCGGGCCGTCGAAAGAGAAGTAGAACACAACGTAGCCTAGACGTGGAATCGATATTTTTTGATTAATTTTTTTTGGTTACGCTGACCAAATCTTTGGGTTAAAAATTTGCAACCTAATTTAGTATCAGGACCGATTGGCCAGGATAGAAAACCTGGATCACATTAATGAGGCCAACGCGCTAGCAAGTCGCAAGGTTAGCTCAGGTTAGGACATATAAGGTTAGATTAGGCAAGTAAGGTTAAAGTTACGGAAGTTAAGGTCGGAGAAAGTTAAGCACAGTGAAAGTGGGTTAGGTCTTGTGAGGTAAAGTTGGGTAAAGTTAAGTTAGGTTAGGTTTAGGTTAGAGTAAATAACACAAGAAAAACAAGACTTAAAATTTGAAAGATGTTATAGAGGGAAGTTTTGAATTTCGTTGACACCGTGATCATCTCACAGGAGTCAGAATTTTTTTTTTTGTATGATCATGGTATCAACAAAAACTTAGCAAAACTGTTCGTTGACACCATGATCGTTGACACCATGCTACGTAATTGAAAATATGGATCCCATTAAATCGCAGCCAGCTTTGGTTCTAAAGGGCCCGGTTCAATCTAAGAAGAGCTATAAATTTAACTGCGGACTGATTATTGAAATTGATGGACAAAGCTATAGACAAAGAAGACATAGGGAGTACGGAGCGATCCTATTGGTTGAAATGGGTGGTTCCTATAGACAAAACGATAAACTGATAGACTTACTGTCGAGTCTCTCGTCGGTTGCCGTTAGTTAGTCTATTTCCTACCTCCTTTGTCTATTGCAACCACCCGCTTCCACCAATAGAATCTCTCCATATCTCTTTTGTCTCCTCTGTCTATAGCTTTGTCTATAAATTTCAATAATCGCCCTGCTGTTTTCTTTTTGCAGGGCAAGCCATGAGGAGGATGACGTGGCAGAGAAAAGATCTCCTGGGCAACCCACAGGGAGCGCAACCTGCGGATGAAGTCTACAGACGGCTGAGAAGAGTCATTCGGGGTAAGTACTTCCTCCCCGCAAAAGCAAGTTATGAAAAATTTAGATTGGAAACCGGACAGTGGTTCCCTTGGTATTCTATTGGCAGAAGCGGATCTAGCAATGGACCACTAGACAAGGTACGAATTTCAGCATTCTGATACATGTTTCTCAATCAAAATTTCACGTAGAACACGATACGCACAACGAAAATTACCAAAATCAACTCCTGACGAAGATATTTAATGATTCTTGATGCGTGAATTCAAACCACCCGCTCATGAAAACTCAATGCTCTACGTGATTCACATCGCGCGCTAAATGTTTATCATGACAGTCTCTGCGATGTAAAAATCTTCAACTTCAATCTTGACACTTTGGCTAGGCTATAGCAAATTGCGTATAGTTTGAACAACACATGGTGGAAAATGAACATTGCTCGATTGAGAAGCTTGCTGAAACCGTTGTAGTGCGCGATTTGACTCACGTAGAGCTTTGAGTTTCTTGTGAGCGGGCAGTTCAAATTCCTCGTAATCAGTGCGAAATAAAAACGTTAATATCTTCGTTAGAAGTTGATTTCGGAAATTTTCGTAGTGTGAATCGTGTTCTACGTGAAATTCTGGTTAAGGAACATGTATCAGAATGCTGAAATTCGTACCTTGTCTAGTGGTCCATTGGACGTATTTCTGTTAAACGGAACTAAGCGCCAAATTGAGTTCCTCTTGATGAATTTTAGAATCCCGGTTAGCGCGTTCTATCAAATGGAACTGGGCGCCATGGAAAAGCATTGTCAGTACAGGAAGGAACGAACATCGCGTTTCGCAACACTCGCCAATCCAAGCTCCCCCCCCCCCCCTCCTTTCCTCCCCCGGTGGCGCTCAGTTCCGTTTGATAGAAATACGTCCGATTGGCAATTCGGCAACACCGGGTTTCCTCCATTTAGACCTGTGTTAAGTGATCGATTCTTATCGGAGCACCTGCCCCCCCCCCAAAATCGATACATTTCCATAGGATTAAATGGAGAAAAACAATGTTGCCAATTTGCTGGATCCGCTGATGTCTATTGGGACTTGCTCCCTAGACTGACCTTTGTATTTAATTTTTGCTAATTCGTGACCATAAACCGTCAAAATAAGATCTTGTGACGGACCCAGTCGACCAACATGCGTAGAAAAGAACTCATTTGTGATCACCCTCTTTCGAAAACTGTAGATAGTTTGAAGTGAGTTATGAACTGATATTCGCCGACAGTATCAGTCATAATTACATGGATATTTTTTAATGGCTGCAGCCGAGCAAACAACAAAGATTTTAGAAGTAATTAAAAAAGTATAAATGTCGCAGGCAAATAGTGAAATCAGGCATTTAGTCAAATGCCTAGGCAGATAGTCAAATTTTGACGGTCTACACAATTTTGTGTATTTATGGCGAAGAGCTCACGATTTTTCACTATTTTAGGAAAAATAACTCATCAAAATTACGAACTCTTATTGTCTTTGCCTCTTCAATTGCCTCTCTTATTTTTAAATGTTGAAATTCCGAAAATTCTGTATTTTACGACATGCTGAAAATTTCAAGATCAGTGACTCTTCAGGAGCTAAAAATTGTTTAAAATAATAGTGTGTGTGTGCAAATTTGTATTGAAAATTTTTTCTTGCAGGAGCAAAGAATTATTTTGTCTGAAATTAGGAAAAGAATTAGAATTTCGCTCTAAGTTAAAATATTTGACTATTTGCCTAGGCATTTGACAAAATGCCTGATTTTACTATTCGCCTGCGACATAAATATCTTACGGAAAGAAAACACAAAAAAGAGAATAATATATACTTCTTTTTACGGTTTTGTATTGCACCAGCAAATGATAGAAGAAGGTTTTCACCGGCTCCAGTTTATTTTGAAAAAGTTGAAGATGTTCTAGACCCAAGAGATGAACGATGTTCCGACAAGGATGAAAGTGGTAAGTTCATTCATAAAATATTATTTTTCCTAGTTACCAATATGGAATCAAGATTTACTACAATTAATGTAAAGAACATTTACAACTTTTTCAACACCCAAGTCAGAGTGTACACCTATGAAAAAAGGTCAATCATAAACTCCGAAGTTTGGTACTTCATGCCGATCAGACTGTTAGGATTGTGAACCCGGAAGTTCCAGGGTTTTGTTCGGTATATCAATGGCTGTGGTGCGAAACGAAGTAACTCTGTTAGTGACGCTGCATATCGACGGTGAAACTACCAAACCACGTATCTCGTTTGCGGTGTTTAAAAATCTACGCTCACATTTTATTTTTTTGAAGTACACTGAGAAAAAACTATGGTTTATAAACCTATTAGAGGTAAATATGGAACACCTATAATAGTCGTAAATAAACTAATGATTCTCGGTCTGTGAACCATACTAAGGTCTCTGTACCTAATTAAGGTACCCCGTACCATAACTAAGGTATATGTGCTATTATTATATGTAGAGGTACTACTATTAGTGGTGTTCCATATTTACCTCTAATAGGTTTAAAAGCCATAGTTTTTTCTCAGTGTAGACCAAATCAATATCATTCCTCGAAATTTTCACAGAATTTTCTTCGCACGAAGAGGAAAAATCACAGAAATTTTCTAGACTGGACGTTAAGTAGTTTTTCATTTAAAAAATAAAGTATGACAGGAAGTCTGCGACGTCGCAAACCGAGATACGTGGTTTGGTAGTTTCACCGTCGATATACTTCCTGTCACACTTTAATTTTTCTTTGGAAAGTTAGTCAACGTTATTTCTTGAAAACTTCCTTGGGTCTCTTCCATTGTTAGCAGAATTTTCTATAAAAATTTTGATCTATAAAATTGGTTTTCTTCTCTTCGAAAAAATAAAATACGAGCGAAAGTAATGAAACGCCGAAATGGATTTACGAGGTTTCGCACTTTAGCCATCGATGTGGTAGCATATCCATGCAGCTTAGAAAGAAGAGCTACGTCTTATATAAAACTCGTGGTTATCCCCCCCCCCATTTTTTCAGTGAATTCTATTTGTAATGAAATCTACAGTATCTGCAAATTTCAAGGAAAAATTTCGTAAAAAGGGGTATTTTGCAACATCCGGATATTTATACGGCGGCGTTTCTCCTAGCACGGTACCCTACACTGGGGGGAAAAAAAACCACATTGGATCTAGAGTCCAGACTCTTGAAAACATTGACAAGAAAAAATACACTTGATTCAATCGGATTTTTGCTTGAATCAAAACGAAATCCGCTTAAATTAAGAGGCTTGATTCTTGATTTAAGCTAGATTCTGATTGAATCAAGAGTACTTTTTCTTGACAATGTTTTTAAGAGCCTGGACTCTAGATCCAATGTGTTTTTTTCCAGTGTACTGCCACACTAAGGAAAAACGCCGCATAGATATCAGAGAATTGCTATAAAACTCGGATAAACACGTATTTTAAGAAAAATCATGTATGTTTTTTCTTTAAATTTTCATATGATTTAAATTAAATTGCGAACAAATTGTTTGAAGGAAATTATTCTCAATTTTCCTAGAAAATTTGTTCTTATTAGAAGAGATATGGATCGCATTTAACAAAAAGGGACCAGCGCGTTTACAGTGCGTGATAAATATGTCACTTCTTAATAATTATCTAAAATGAATCCCCCAGAATTGCAAACAGTTTTTGCTTCCTACCAAATAATTGTTAATTTTAAAGCAAAATAAGTGTGTAAATTTTAATGCTGTACACATATTAAGTATTTTTAAAAGAAAAAGAAGAAGTTGCACAATTTTAAAAACACTGCAATTGCGCTGGTTGCGATCTAGGTAAAGCTAAATGCGATCCATATAGTATTGTTTAAAGGCTCACATGACTCATTAAAAACAGGCAATTTTCTTAAAGATGTGTTTATTTTCAACCCGCAGCTTGTTGCATATGCTCTAAACGGAAGACGCAGTCAGTATTGGAGGAATGCGGTCACGAGGTATGTTTCACATGCGCTGGAGCCATAACTGACGAAGCATTCATGCTCATGAAGCATTCTGCGTGCCCGGTCTGTCACTGCTCTTTGAAAGGCATTCGTACAAAAAATAAATCGATAGCTACGAGAGTTCTAGATTGGCTAAACAGTCAATATATACTTCAGCAGCAGCGGTTGGCTAATGCATTAAGACCGGATCCTGATTGCTGTTGAGTACTTCAAGAAGAGTCCTGTACAGTAGGTACATGGAGGAAAAAAACTTCGTGCGTGGGACCCGAAGTTTAGGTCATATGGATCCCTGAAGTTTTCGGATTGAGCATCTGAACACTTTAGGTCCAGCTGCTGAGGTTTGGATCACACATCTGAATCTTCAGTTCTTACATCTGAATAAGTACTTCGGTTTTCACATCCGAAAAACTTCGATTTTCACATCCGAAAAACTTCGGTTCTCACATCCGAAAAACTTCGGCTCTCACATCTGAAGTACTCTAGATGTAAGAATTGAAGTTTCAGATGTGTGATCCGGACCTCGACAGCTAGACCTAAAGTGTTCAGATGCTCAATCCGAAAACTTCAGACATACATATGACCTAAACTTCGGGTCCCACGTACGAGGTTTTTCTATCCGCGTACCGATGAGTTGGTGCACAACAGCCATTTGGGTTAGCTGTACTGTTGGTACTAGCAAATACACTTTTTGAACGATTATACATAAGCGTTTTCACAATACAGGCATTGTTAGCCAGGGTGGATTCTTTTAACTCCAGAGTGTAACGATCATTTCAGAAAAATCTTTGAAAGAACATTTCCCCTCCGGTTTGATCACAGCGAGGCGTGAATGATCGATAATCAATATTTCCCCATTTGAATCTATGGTAAAGAATCGATTATTAAGGTGCTCCTTGCGAACATCCTGATTTATCATTTTTTATTCTAAACGGTTTATGTTATACCCGAGAGGAGCAAATTGTTCAAGATATATGAAGTTTTTAAAATTGTACATCTAACGTTAGTTTAAGATTAAACCTAGTTTAGAATATTAATTCATGTTAATAGATAACGGTTTATGTTATACCCGAGAGAAGCAAATTGTTCAAGATATATGAAGCTTTTAAAATTGTGCATCTAACGTTAGTTTAAGATTAAACCTAGTTTAGAATATTAATTCATGTTAATAGATACAGAGGTAACAATATAATTTGTAGTAGTTTCGTAATGTTTAAAGGAAAATAGTTTTTAAACCAATTGATAAGCAATAAAAAATGATAGTTTTTTGCAGTTTTTCATCAGTTGCAAAAAGTGAACATTGCTCGGTTTGATGTTACACAACACAAATGACGAATCCTGTGGGTTCAAAAAATGTGCGATGAAAAACATCGGTAAACGTACACGGCCCTTCTCTGAAATGAGAGTAGAGAAGAATGAGTAAATATATTTTACTGTCTCGTTTTAATTTAATTATTTAAAGTTGTTCCTATGATGTAGGCACCAAAAATAAACCTTCAGCTCACGATCTTTGTCGTAATATCCGTACTTTTCACATTCAGAACAGTGTCTTCTCATTTTCTGAAATATCAGAGGGATAGATTTTTTTGGGCGTGTGAGATCACAGTTGACTGACATCTCACGAAAGCTTTAGAAACTAAGGGGGAAAGTCTTATTTTTTGTACTACTCAGCCCCACTTCGTATCTTTAAGCGTCAATGTATGTAAACCTGGGAATAATATCAACATGCAATTTCACGTTAAGACGCGAATTTTCAACGCTGAAAATTCGCTCATAGGAGCGGGTAAGATGGAAATTTTCTTCCCAGGTCGGAGGCGAAAAAATTTATTATCTAGCGATGCATGGTGTTTGTTAAAATGAGTTGTATCCCCCTTAAAATCAAATTAACTACATCCACGATATTTTAGCAGGCGTTTAGCATGCTCTACATGAAAACATAAACAAAAATATGCGTTATTTTGGTTTCAGCAACAGTATAACAAGTCAGTAAAGGTCTTCCTTTTTTTTGCGATGGTGTATTCATTTTTATGATTTGTTATCATTGTTTTACTGCATCGGCCTAACACGATGGTATTTTTGTAAATTTGTAATTTGTAAGTATCATAGCGTGGATAAAAAAAAACAAGGAGAAACATCCAACATGAATATGTTGGAAAAGCGTGCCGAACAACTGAAATTTCGGAGACATGAGCTTGAATGAATCGCTGAACCAAGAGCTAATAATATCAGCTGTTTTGATATGGCATTCTATCATGGAGTAATGCATAGGGCTCATGTTGTATAGTCAATGGGTACGAAGCACCCATTAAAGTGCGGCGGGAAAAAATATTCTAGATTCAAATCGCTCTAGCGTAAAAAAGGGTTTTTGAAGGATCTGTCAAATGAAATAATACGGTTTTGACCGGAAAATGTTCTCAAGGGTTTCCAATCAGCAGTTCCTTCAGTTTTTTGGTAAAAGACCATCAGGGCTTGGCAGTATAACGGTTCAAAGACAAAAACAAGCAGGAAGCTCCAACGCATTGGCGTCGGAGAGCGGCTCTGGGGGCAGTAGTTGTAGTCAAGAATGAGGGCCTAGACACATTTTGTCATTGATGTACAATCCGACAACTGTCGATTCATGTTTTGTAACTTAGCAGATTTACGTAGCCGGTGTATAAATGTGTATTGGGCTTTGATATGGCGAATACATGGCATTATCACTTGTTGTATACTTTTAATTTTGAAAGCTCTTTGGAGGTCCGCTTCCTAAAAAATCTCTGGTTGATAAGTCGTTTAGCGAGGCTGCAAAAAATTTGCATTTTTATATCTGAAAGTGTAGGTATTGGTTTTTTGTATAATTGTTTTTTTGGATTGCTGGAAAAGTAACGCATACTTCTATAATTTAGGACTGAGTCAGGGAAATATAAGGTTCGTTAAATAGTAAATATTCCTAGTACCGTGTGACACTATTGTTAACGAAAAGTTTTTGCAACTTGTCAAAAAGGTTGTTGAATGATCTTCGAATAACTTTTGATGAGCTAGAGGTAATGGTTCTATCTGCAGCTCGTGGACTTCTGTACGATATTGTCCAGAATCATCTAAATTTTCAAAAAGTGTCCGCTTGTTCGATACCCAATTTGCTCATTCATGCATACAAGGAGAAGCGCATGAAAGCTTTAGCAGACATTTTGGAGATGAATCAAGAATTAGATGAAGAATTTATGACTTAAATCACGGCACCTTAATCACGGGATGACCTTAATTACGGCAACTATTTATTGTCCATGAGATGCAGATGGTTCCATTTCCCTAGCTCATCAAAAGGTATTCGAAGATCAATTTCATAAATAATCAGCCCATGAGTGGGTCCAGAATGAGGGAGAAGGAAAAGTTGAAATAATTTTACTGGAAGGAGGGATAAATGAGGTACTCACCGAATTTATTCGTACAGAACATTCAAAAATCCCGTGAAAAAACAGCTCACAAATAAAAGCAAATTGCCATAGAAACTTCTTCACGAAATCACACACACAACGAAGAACGAGGCGCTACAGACGAGTCCGTCCAGGACAAGTTAAAAAATTCCCATGAGCCGAGTGTCGTAGGTTAAGGGCCCGTTCGCCAAAACTAATCGAAACTGTATGAATGAATTGCTCCTTTTAAAAATCAAAACAATATCGAATTGCGATATATTACACAGTTAAGATAGGGCTATGTCCTGTCGTAAGCGGCGACATACAGTCGATATCATTTCAATAATCGCCCCAATGGCCACGATAGTTGTTTAGACGTTTACGGTTTCCCTGGTAACCTTTGTTTGCTATCAGCTGATATCAAGTAATATGACTAGGAAGCTCCAACCCAGTAGTTAAAGCTTCCTTAACCGCGAAAACTTTAAAATTCAAATTTTCAAATTTTGAACGTAAAGTACATTTTTTCCATCACGAGATAAAAGCACAAACAAGTTTTGAATTGTTGACTGTATCACCATGATTCCAAAAATACAATACACAACATAGCATTGACTAACAATAAAACAGTATGCAATAAAATAAAGTCATGACAAGGAACATAGCCGAAAATGGCGCCGATTCCCATCAACCAACGCGCGGTCTCTACAATGTAACATGCTGCATTGATACTCCCCAGCTGGGACCGTCCGGAATAGCAGCTCTAGTGCAAGCACCAGAGCCGCTAAAACGGGTCCGAGGAAAAAATATTTTGACGGCCCGTTGAATAGCATTGGTTTATCGGTGTGCTGTACTATGGTACATCCAAGTGATTTCAAAAAGCGAGCCCTACTGGCACGCTTAAAATACAATTTTTTTTTAAAAAATCTCGGACAGACATTACTTTGCATTTCAGAGGAGCTTGATAACCCATTATGCATACTTACTAAAAATTATAAATTTTCCCTTTTCTATTCCTTGATTTCGACTTAAACACACAGGTGTAATTACACGATTAAATTGAATGGCTTAAATTGTCACCGTCCACGGGCAAAGGGATTTTTACTTCAGTCTACAGCGGCAAAATTTTCAGTAAAATGAAATATATTCGGTTAGGTAGAAAAAAATCGGATTTTAAGATTTCGACAAAAAAATCTCTCAAAGTTTTAAACTGTTTGCTTCAATCTTAAGCCAGTAGAACGCGGCGCAAAAATGCATTGAAATATGAAGATTTCATGACCTGAACATGACAAATTAGAATAAAACATGATGTTTATGCTTAAAACGTTCTATAGCCACCAATATTTTCAGAAATCTATAAAAATTGCGGAGAACTGTCATAATTCTGGAATCCATGCTCTAAATACATATAATGTTGCAAATGTTAACTGGCACAAGCTCCAATGTAACTTGTTCAATTTAATCGTTGAATTCGACAAAAGTTTCCTCTTGTCTAAATGTCGGGAAAAGATAAAGAAATCATCTGTCAACATTCAAACATTTTAGAAACTGAAATGCAACAAATGTATGCGAAGGTTTGATAAATCTATCGCCCGAATTCTCAAGCTTCAATTATTCCTTTCGGCGAACTCGGGTATGACTCTCGACCAAAGCTATCCTGCTAACGTACAACAACGTATGAACATTTGAAAGTTGCGAAATTTCTTCTTATAAAATATTTATATTTGAAGAAAGGTAGTAATTTTTCATTAAAACTTTTCAGATTATTTTGGTCTAATTGCGAATAAAATTTCTTAAAAAACTGGATGAAAATATTCATTAGTTTTCCAGAAGACTCGTATTTATAGAACCCAATTCGGCGTCCAAAAGTTCATAAGGCGTTTTTCCTTAAGACGACG